GTTGTTTCAAAAACAAACAAAGGCTGGTATTTTCTTGCGTTAAGCCCCAAATCAGCCTGTTTCTGCAGCGCAGTTTGAGTTCTATTGATCCAGCATAAACAGCTTGGTTTTATCTTTATTAGAAATACTATGCTGGAACTTTTTGTAAAAATCCTGCATTTATTTACTCAAAGATGGATTTAATGCCCGATTCACAAGAACGCATGAATAATTAAACGTTTTTGTCCAGTGTAAATAGGCAACGGCCACAAATTCTAGCGAGGGTGCTTCCTTTTCAAGAGAAAGAAAGAAAATCCCAAACTTTTCCTTGTGAAGCACATTTATCCACAGTAATGCTTCAACAGGATTCACAGAAATTGATGGAGACATTTTCAATTGTGGGGCTTGCAAACTACCAGCCACAGATCCTTGAGCCCGCCTTTGCCCGGGAAGGCACATTAAAGTGTCCTGTCCCTGAAACAGCCTCAGCCTCTCTGATGGATATTCCAGCAGTGAAGGAGGCATTCATCATCATCATCATCATCATCATCATCATCATCGTCCTCATCCTTAGCCAGTGATGATATTCAGCTCTGTCTCAGGTCTTCATAAAGACGACCTGATGAGGTCACCGGAGGTGCAAATATGTGCGCGTGCACACACACACAGATTCTCACAGATGCTGCACAACAAGTGCCTACAGAGAATATGTGTGTAGCTCAAACCGTCAGCCCAGATGTTGCAGAGACAGCGTGCTACAGTAATTAGCATGCTTGTGCTGGGAGCTGCATTGTTGATATGCAGTCCATGTCTGGATAAAGAATTCAGTTTCTCTCCAGCTGGCTCAGTGCTTTGCTAGAAACCATCCCTGCCTTTCTCTCACTGTGCACTTATATTTCTCAGTCTTTCCAAGCCTTTCACATCATATTGAGCTTGATTAAATGGATAGAACCAAATAAAAAACAAAATGAGTAAGCTCTTGGTGTTTTACATTTAGCATAAGTCGTTAGAGCTTAAAACGATTAACATCATGTTGTGAATTAAATATTTAATTTGGTCATTGGTAATTCACCTCATTATTCTGGATAAAGGAGACATAAGCACAAATAAACAACTGGGAAAAGATGCATCAGAACAGC